CGGTCAAAACTTTTTACTATTCAAATATTTTTGTTTAATATAGTCTTTCAAATACCACATCCAGGTATTTATTAAATTCTTCCATTTAGACTGGGGACTAACGTTTTACATTGTATGTGGTTGTAATTTTAAGAAGGGAAACTAAGCGACCAAACTGTTTTTACCAAACACGAGTCAATGCGCTCGGTGGAATTAATATTATGCGAACTAACTGGAAAACTATGTTTAGAAAATCGAGCCAAGGCGGTCATGCAAACATTGAAGATGTCATACAATATTTTTTGGAAGATAACGAGGAAACATCAGCAAGTCCCCAACCAACCCCACTGGAAGGAGCAGTGAGCGTGCAACCTGTTACGACAAATGCTGGAGTAAAACGCGGAGATTTCATGGAAGCAAGCACACACGTGAAGAACAACAGACCTTCTTCCTCGGCAACTTCAATAAACTTGGAAGGTGGGTGATGAAAGAATATTCGTTGTTTATCTCGAGTAAATTAGATAGACATAGCGATGAACAAGGGGATCTAGTTTATCTATGAATGTTTTGTATATATTGGAACATGCTGTACACCAGGGGTCACCAACCTATTCGAAGCCGAGGGCTACTTTTTGGGTACAGATTAAGCTGCGGGCTACCAGTTCAATGTACACTTCTAAAAAATCAGTTGCTCGATTAAGCTTCAATTATTGATATAATTACTGGTATTTAGTGAAGTATAGACACTAATAAACTTTAGAATTATTCAGGAAATCAAACAATTATCACAACGTTGCAAATAAATTTCTATCAATAACACTTGTATTTCAAAACTGAGTGTTTTCAACTTGATTTTCAACACTCTGCACAAGTCTAAGATAAAATGTAATTAACAGTTGTACTATCAAATGTTGCAGAGTATTATACTCCGACGTGTAACTTGTAACTCTGAGCGAGTCTTGCAGATTTTCATCAGTGAGGCGTGTTCCGTGTTTGTTCCTGGTGGAGTGAGTCGCGGCGCTATGGCCCATCGTGTCAAGCGTTAGGTTCGCATGTTAGAATCCCACCCGGGGATAGTTATGTGCGAACGGATTGCTGGACTCTTCGCCGCCGTAGGGTGATTCACGTAACCGCTGGTCGGTTAAGGCTTCCTTCGCCATCAAGTCCAGGCTTCCGGAAACAAATAACTAACTAATCCCATACCCGACATCGAATGGTAACCGGCAAGAAGCCGTGGTTTGTCATATGGTTAAACCGTCCTATCTTCTTCCCCGGGATAAATATGTAAATCTCCTATCCTGAGTTTATGTCAAAAATGTTGATTCGAAAGGATAGGTTGAAACAAACGATGATCTCGTAAATTAGGATTGCTGTATGATTTGAATCGCGAGCTTTTTCTGTCCGTACTGTGCTGACCAGTGGTAGTTAGCGCAGAAGATTACGTGACAAGATGTGAAATATCTCTCCGCTTTGCCGTCGCTGAAATCGCCCCACTAATGAGACACGCGCAGGCTGTTTTCATGGTGGTATAAATATATCCACCTCCCATTCATCGTGAAAATGATGGGTTTTTCTTTGGAATCAATAATTGTATTATTACTGCTCCGCTAACCAACGGACAAGAAAAAGTGCGGGTTCGTGGAAAGTGACCTCAATGTGATGTCATAATTGAAAGAGTGTTAATTGACCCGTCACATTACTGAGGTCAAAGTAAAATAAGGTTGATGGTTACAATAATTAATATAGTGTCATTTCTGGTTTCCATATAAGTGTGATTTATACTAAAATAGCAGGACAAAATATAATTGATGTAGCTTACTTATAAGAGCCGTTATTAAGCTTAGTTTGGAACAGACCTGCGGGCGACTCATATGGTCTTCGCGGGCGACTTGGTGCCCGCGGGCAACGCGTTGGTGACCCCTGCTGTACACAATGCTACTACGACAACAGAGGCGATTTTGGTTTCGTGAAATGGGGCCAAGTCCACTTGACATTACACGACGATTTTGGTCAAGCTGTACGGGATTGAGATTGAAAAAAACACAACTTCGATTCAAACCTTGGTCACTATTTTGATGTTATACCTCATAATAATGATTCGCTCCATTGCATCTTGTAGACCAGGCATGGGCAAAGTACGGCCCTTGGGCCAAGTTCGGCCCATTGAGTAATTCAATCTGGCCCGTCTGATGCTGCCACAACTAAATCGAATTTTGATGTTTCAGCGAATAATTTGTTGAGATTGCGGTTAAATTTAGTTTTGGCACGAAGCATATTGTATTCCACCTTGGCTTGTAACACTGTAAATGTTGTTCTTAAAATGTTATTTTTTACCGCACACTTACATGGTCATGGCCAGTCTAGAGGGGGCAAAATTTTTGGCCTCTAGTTCAAAAACTTTGCCCACCCCTGTATTGATCTTATATGTATTTCGCGGTATTCAGTGGACTACTCTTAAAACTACTTCAGAAATGAACAATGTGAGTTACGTCAATTTTGAGTCAGATTATCAAAATTCAATATCTTAAGTTAGCAACATTTGGAATAGTTGCTGTTGTTAGAAACAGTGCTAACTATAAAAACTCTCGGAAAAGAACTTATGATTCGATAATTTAGGTATTACTAAGAAGGAACCAAATAAAATACGACTGCCTCAATAATTGAATTGAAAGAATTCGAAAAATGAAGAGAAAAATTTGTTTTGACTGGTTTGAATAACCCTTAACGAGGCCTATTTTCATCGCTCGCGATTTATACATTGATAAATGCTGTATTTTGTTATTAGTAAGTAGCAATTGGTTTTATGCTTCCATCTTCGTGAAGCCAGAGCCCCAAGTACGAAGAACCGCAAGTTCCCGAGCGCTGGCATGGGAGTAACGTTGCTTCTCATCACCCTACAATAATTTCATATTGTTTATGATGGATTGCTACTCCGTCGAAAGCGTAAATTTATAATATTTTTTATTTGTTCAGGCGAAAGCGATAACACAGTATGCTATGATTATAGTGGAGGATTAGAACATTGGAATGCAAATGATGAGCCGTGGACTAATCATGCAAAGTGGTTTCCAGGGTAAGATATTTCGATTAGGGTGTGTGACCTCTGAACCTCTCGCGGAAAAGTCAGAATTCAAAAATTTCTGCTAGGGTATTATGTAGATAAACATAATTTAATCACTTTTAACTTACTATCGTAAACAAACTTCAACCAAACTTATCATAGAATCTTGGTAAAGCATATATCTGTTCATCCCACCTTTTCGAATATAATAAATAATAATGAAATATAAAGTCAACACCTTTGTTCACTAAGGTCATTGTCACGTGGTAACAAACAGTCTTTGATACTAATTTTCCTTTAGCAAATATCGTACTTTCATTTAGTACAACCATCCAAGTAATTTGATTTTATCAGAAAACTGTGCTCAGTCACGCAGTTCAATATCACACTAGACATGATATATTTCTATTAATATACTTGTAACAGGTGCGAATACGTTATCAGACAAAAGGGAACTGAATTTGTCCGACAAATTGCCGATCAACATCCAAATTTGAACAGAACGCATATTCATAATCCGACATCTTACGATATTCCCCCAGAAATACGACACTCAAATTCTCCTCAACCTATGGACACTCAAAATCCAAACCCAAACAGCAGCACATCTAATGTTGAGGAGCTAATTAACTTAGGCTTTTCAAAGAAAGAATTGAGCGCCTCATGAAAAGGTATGTTGTTAGGCAATTTTCGAACAGTTGCGGTCAAAACTTTTTACTATTCAAATATTTTTGTTTAATATAGTCTTTCAAATACCACATCCAGGTATTTATTAAATTCTTCCATTTAGACTGGGGACTGACGTTTTACATTGTATGTGGTTGTAATTTTAAGAAGGGAAACTAAGCGACCAAACTGTTTTTAACAAACACGAGTCAATGCGCTCGGTGGAATTAATATTATGCGAACTAACTGGAAAACTATGTTTAGAAAATCGAGCCAAGGCGGTCATGCAAACATTGAAGATGTCATACAATATTTTTTGGAAGATAACGAGGAAACATCAGCAAGTCCCCAACCAACCCCACTGGAAGGAGCAGTGAGCGTGCAACCTGTTACGACAAATGCTGGAGTAAAACGCGGAGATTTCATGGAAGCAAGCACACACGTGAAGAACAACAGACCTTCTTCCTCGGCAACTTCAATAAACTTGGAAGGTGGGTGATGAAAGAATATTCGTTGTTTATCTCGAGTAGATAGACATAGCGATGAACAAGGGGATCTAGTTTATCTATGAATGTTTTGTATATATTGGAACATGCTGTACACAATGCTACTACGACAACAGAGGCGATTGAGGTTTCGTGAAATGGGGCCAAGTCCACTTGACATTACACGACGATTTTGGTCAAGCTGTACGGAATTGAGATTGAAAAAAAACACAACTTCGATTCAAACCTTGGTCACTATTTTGATGTCATACCTCATAATAATGATTCGCTCCATTGCATCTTGTAGACCAGGCATGGGCAATGTACGGCCCTTGGGCCAAGTTCGGCCCATTGGGTAATTCAATCTGGCCCGCCTGATGCTGCCACAACTAAATCGAATTTTGATGTTTCAGCTAATAATTTGTTGAGATTGCGGTTAAATTTAGTTTTGGCACGAAGCATATTGTATTCCACCTTTGCTTGTAACACTGTAAATATTGTTCCTAGAATTTTATTTTTTACCGCACACTTACATGGTCATGGCCAGTCTAGGGGGTCCAAAAATTGGAATGTTTTGTATATATTAACTGTGCCGTTTCACTGAACAAACCATATTTCAAAATAGCTAGAAAACTTTAAAATAGACTATAGAGGAAGATTACACTGCGTATCAAACAAAATGAAAATTTACCTTCAAAATATTCCCTTTTCACGTTACTTTGCCAATATTTCAGAGTATGCTGAATGAAATTTCCGATTTAAATTACTAGTAATTAATTTAATTTTAAATTGTTCATTTTGCATTGCAGATATCGAAATGGCGAGAAGTTTGAGAATCATGGAGCAGGAATCGATCTGTAAAATGTGCAAGAAAAACAAAACAGAAATCCTATTCATCCCGTGTGGCCATTTATGCGTCTGTGAAGAATGCGCTACAAAATTAAAACGATGCATTCTATGCAAAAGTAAAGTTCAAAGCACGTTGAAGGAATGCAGAGCGTAGCCATTTTCAATCCCTGGGAAAATGGGATCCCTGGGCACGAAGCATATTGTATTCCATCTTTGCTTGTAACACTGTAAATATTGTTCCTAAAATTTTATTTTTTACCGCACACTTACATGGTCATGGCCAGTCTAGAAGGTCCAAAAATTGGAATGTTTTGTATATATTAACTGTGCCGTTTCACGGAACAAACCATATTTCAAAATAGCTAGAAAACTTGAAAATAGACTCAGGGTTGTCCAAAACGAATCGAATATTCGAATGTATTCGAATATCAAAGTATTCGAATACCTTTTCGGCTGATTTTCGAATAGTAGTCGCTTTTCGCCGTAAACGTGGTGTTTCGTTTTACGGGAATCTTTAAACGACTTTTTACGCTGTCTCACGTAATGACGATGAAATAGAATCGGCACTTTGATTGTTTATATTCTTTGCGACAGTACGTCGCATAGTGTTGCGACACATTTGTACGTGGACATTGCCGACATTCGTGTACGAGGCTTTTAATTTACAAATTCATTTCCATTACGTCGAAAAATTGAGAAAGTATGTTTATTTTTTTTCTATGTGGCCTAATTATTATTCACATGAGTCTTCTCAAGCATGATTTGTGTAACCTTATATTTGGGTCTTAGGGTCTGCCAATCATGATATTTATTCGCAGGCCGGTTATCGTTACTTTAAAGAGAAACACGGCCACCGAGATAAAGTGATTTGTGACCCTTTCGTTTTGCTGATTCAGCAAAACACGACAGGGACAGGAAAACACAGCTGTGAAATAACCCGTGGACGTACAGTGTAGTACTTATTATCACATTCCAAAATTATTTCAACATTCGGGTTAATAGGTCCAAAATGATTGTCGCTTTACAACTTAAATTTACCGCTCAATTGTTAAAAATAGTTAATTCTGTGAGTATGATTCTACCAAACTAACATGATCTGGTTCTGAACATATAAAATTATTAGCGAATTTTTCGACCCGTCTTATTGGAGGCCTATATGGAAAACCCCCTTTTTTGAGTGCTAAAAATAGACATCGTCCTATTTGCCATGTGGACTTATTAGCCGGGAAGTACGGTATTTATAGCCGACATTGTTACGATATTCAATAAATTGTCACAAGTTGGAAAAACAAGTCGATTTATTAGAAAATAATTTCTGGCAAATAATTCTGATAACGATAGTTAAAAGTATTCATCCTTTACCAGGATGATTTTTTGTTGCGCAAAATAATCCAATCCATGACTGGTACCAGCATTTAAAATGTCATGTCGTATTAATTTAATTCTGTTCAACGTAACTCATGGTTGTATCGACAATCTGTGGACATAAAATGTGTAGTAAAGTGTTAATGCCAAAAACAACGTGTATTTGTGGACATGAAATACGTGGTAAACTGCCCAATTATAATTAATTTCGGATTCGTGTTTACAAAATAATAAAACTAATAATTTTAAAATGCAACGGCGATTTGTGGCCTTCAAATATGTGGTAAACAGCCCGATTTACCAACATTTGAGTTATGATAATAGAATTAAATTAACACGGTAAGGCATTTTAAGTAGTGGTATCGGTCATGGATTCGAATAAATTCGAAATCATCCTAGTAAAAAGTCCATACTTTCAAATACAAACCAATGGGAACCATTATCCAAATTACTTCCCAAGAGCGGGATAAAATATAAACTTGTGACAATTTTTCGTGAGTACTAAAATAAGAATCAAAACTAATTATATTCGGCACAATATCACGACAATCTGTGGACATAAATTGTGTGGCAAACTCGCGATTAATATTAATTTTTGATTCCTATTTTCGTATTTACAAAATACAACGGCGATCTGTGGACTTACAATGTGTGGCAAACTACCCGATTATAAATAGTTTTTGATTCCTATTTTCATATTTATAAAATAATAAAAGTATTATTACCCAAACATACAACGGCGATCTGCGGACTTGAAATGTGTGGTAAAGTTCCCGAATATAATTAATTTTTGAGTCATATTTTTGTACTCACGAAAAAATTGTCACAAGCCGGAAAAATACCTCATACTTTATCCCGCTTTTCGACAAATAATTTGGATAATGGTTGGTATAAAAGTATGGGCGTTTTACTAGGATGATTTTGTGTTGCGCAAATATTCAAATCCATCATCGATACCATTATTGTCCTATTAATTTAATTCTGTTAACATGACTCATGGTATGTAAAATATATACTGCAATAATCTGCAAATATGAAATGCCTGGTAAAATAGCTAGGTTGTAACTTGTAGATAGCAGTATTCCATTGTTTATTGTATGGAAATTCCTACATACATTTAGATAAGCTTCAATTAGTGGATTTTATTTTCGAAGTATTCGAAATTTCATATTCGAAAAAAATAATTTCGAATGTATTCGAAATAGTGAACTATTCGGTATTGGCCATCCCTGAATTTTGAAGGTAAATTTTCATTTTGTTTGATACGCAGTGTAATCTTCCTCTATAGTCTATTTATAGAGGAAGATTACACTGCGTATCAAACAAAATGAAAATTTACCTTCAAAATATTCCTTTTTCACGTTACTTTGCCAATATATCAGAGTAGGCTGAGTGAAATTTCCGATTTAAATTACTAGTAATTAATTTAATTTTAAATTGTTCATTTTGCATTGCAGATATCGAAATGGCGAGAAGTTTTGAGAATCATGGAGCAGGAATCGATCTGTAAAATGTGCAAGAAAAACAAAACAGAAATCCTATTCATCCCGTGTGGCCATTTATGCGTCTGTGAAGAATGCGCTACAAAATTAAAACGATGCATTCTATGCAAAAGTAAAGTTCAAAGCACGTTGAAGGAATGCAGAGCGTAGCCATTTTCAATCCCTGGGAAAATGAAAAAAAAGCATTCTTGAGAAAAACAAATATCGCTTCCCAGCATCACCAATGAGTTGGGAGTGAAGATTGCACCCTGCCATCACTGATGTCATCAACTTGAAAAGGGCATGTTAAACATCACATTGTTCGACTCCGTTTGACCTTGTTCGATATGTGACTTTGCTTCTTTCAACTTTGTTACACTCAAATGTTGGTTTAAAGTGAGAATTTGATTATTGTGTTTGTATTGTAGGAAAAAACTATTCTTGCATTTTGTTTGGCAAATTGAGGTAGAATCATGGTAATCGCATTTATACAGAAATAAGCTAATAGATAATATAGACGTGCTGCCAATATAGCACCATATCAACAATGTGGAATCAAATACCAATAAAATAACACCAATCAAATGCCACCTAGTATTTCTATGCCATAATTGATAATATTGATTTCTGTATAAAAAATCTACTATTTTCATAGTTGAAATAGTGAAAAAGCATAAAAAAATGCAAATTTTATCAATGTTTGTTGATGGAAATAGAGAAATTACGTTGTGTTTTATTTTATTTTTTGTTTTTATTTGTAGACAGGACATGATTTCTACTGAAATTCTAATAATGTTAATTCATTTCTAAAAAAAATCCGCCGCCTATGTTTAAAAGTATGCAACAATTCAAATATATATCAAGATCTCTCAATTCAAATATCTCAAGATTTCTGGCGCAAAACATCATTTTTCCCTTGTATATTTCAGTACAAGTATGCAACTCATTTTATGCATTAGCCCAGAGGTTTTCAACCCGCGGGCCCCGGGGCGTATCGGCCCACCGATGCATATTTTGTGGCTACTGATCTTTGATGAACTCAAACATATATCATAATATCTGCGGCCTAACGAAGATAAACGATTTTTAAATTCGGTATCATTCTTCTCATCCCTTACAGCGCATTATAAGACTAAGGATTGTGTCATCACGGTAAATAGATGAGTTACGTAATGTTACGTAAAATTGAGTATGGCTATAGTTTGTGTACGTTGCATTCTGGTTTGCCACAAACGTCCATGTTAAGAGGCTCATTAAAAAGACTTCACGTTTTCTCGCTCCCTCAAGTTGACGACGTGCTTCCGGTACATATTTCTTTTGCATACGCAGCCTAGATTTTCAATAAAGTACCAGTCTTTGTGGGACCAGGGCCCCTTTCCAACCACGTGCCAATCGCTTAAAAATTTCCAGGGGCTGAAGATTGCTGTTGTTGCTAGAAGGCGATTTTATTTAAAAACGTTTGTGGAGTTTATGAAATTCGTTATTCACTTAAGGCAGTGGTTCTTGAACTTTTTTGAGCGCGACGCATATATGAGTTCTATGAGTACTCGCGACCCAATCCGATACATCGCGAAACGAATTTTTAATGTTAATACTTTTAAACCTCAATACAGACAAAGATTTATTAGAACAGTTCATTGGCTCCAATTTATTGAAGCTGAAATTTCTTATTATTATATCTTCAATACACGGCTCTATTTTACTGAGCGTAATGTGCAATTTGTTACAAGAATCGAGGCAATTGCGAGCCTTAGTATCAATAACCGTCATGAATGACACCCTCGCTAGGCTTTCGTTCCCGTTCGCAATATATATACAGCTTTTCACTCATCATCTGGAGCCACATTTTTTCTAGAATGTCTAGATCTTGAATAATCTGATGGTGAAAGGCTTAGCTTCTTTTTTGCCTTGCTTATTAGAATTCAACCATTCTGCCATCGGGCGCGCGGGAAAAAGAAGATGAATCAAAAGTCTCTTCCAACTTTTTACATATTTTGCATTACAAAATTGTTATGAGGCCTGTAATATTAATTAATTCAACCATTTATAACTCGTAGAAACCCGAGTGCACAAAGTACTCAAAATATAAAATAGATTAGTCTAAAAATTAACAAAACGATCCATAGGTCTAATTCGTCTCAAAAAAAAAAGTAAATGACACATATTGTTAATTCAGCTGCGGAATGTAGAAAATTGGATTCTGGGAGACGATGGAATGGATAGACAATGGCAAAAATCGGATTGTGCAAGGGTAAATGGTTACAATTATTTGAATGTTGCGGTACCTCAACCAAAGTTTCGAACTTTATTACGAGCATTTGAA